CGGGGTGCTCGATTTTGAATTCCCTGCGGGGCCGAATGCGTTCGCAAGATTTCGGCACGCGCGCGCGACGACGCGCGCGCGTCCACTTCGTTCCGTCGCTCGCAAGGGAGCATCGTACATTGGCCGATTTTGATAAACGAGTGCGCGCTAGTGCTTGTTGCAGAGGACGGCGGGGCGGGGGGTCGAACCCGGCTCGGCAGGGGAGGTGCGAACTCAGATTGAGAACGAACGACGGGGCAGAATCATACGTAGCACCCCGCAATTGCGGATAAGAGTGAAGGGGCGGGCGCGGGCGACGCGGGCGTCGTCGAGCCGGCGGACCTCGTGGCCCCCACCTTCCTTGTCGATGGCGCTCTCCTCCGCCTCCTCCTCCTCCTCTTCCTCCTCCTTTTCCTCCTCCTCTTCCTCGTCCTCATCGTCATCGACATCCTCCTCCTCCACCTCGTCCTCCTCCTCCTCCTCCTCTTCTTCCTCGTCCTCCCTCTCCCCCCCTCGTCTTTTCATCATGGTCCTCCCATTGTCGTCCTCCCCCTCATCGGCCTCCATCATCGTCCTCCCATTGTCGTCCATCATCATCATCCTCCCCATCCTCCCCCTCCTCGTCCTCCTCCTCCCCCTCCTCCCCCTCCTCCCCCTCGTCCTCCTGCTCCTCCTCCTTTTCTTTTTCCACGTTCTCCTTACATCCTCTCTTCTTCCACGTTCTCCTCGTCCCCTGTTTACTCATCCTGCCTCCCCCTCCTTCCCCAAGATAACTGCAACGCAATCATTTTTTCCACTTTATGCTCCCCGCCTTCTCTGATCAAGGCAACTCGCCAGGGCAAAGTTGCTGGACGGGCTGGCGTGGATGTGCGGGGCGTGAAGAGGTCCTTGCGGGCTCAGACGGCATGCAAAGAATCCGCCGCCGCGCTTGTGCGGCATTGGTTTGTTCAGCGAACGTGGTTTAGGTCGCGGGTGGGTCGCGGGCTCCCCACCTCCACCTGGAAGGAATGCAAAAGCAGCCCGCCGCAAGCACCAAAAAAATTGGTTCGTACACGGAACGAGATTTGGGTCGCGGGTGGGCCGCGGGTTCTCCACAGGGAACGAATGCAAAGGATGCCCGCCGCAGGCGCCGAAAATATGGTTTGTACCCTGAACGTGGTCGCGGGTGGGCCGCGGGCTCTCCACCTGAAACGAATGCAAAATATGCCCGCTGCAGGCGCCGAAAAATTTGGTTTGTACCCTGAACGTGGTTTTGGTCGCGGGTTGGTCGCGAATTGGTCACGGCATGTGTCGCGGGCTCTCCACTTGGAAGGAATGCAAAAAAGCCCGCCGCAGGCGCCGAAAATTGTGGTTTGTACCTTGAACGTGGTTTGGGTCGAAGGTGGGTCGCGGGTGGGTCGCGGGGTAGGTCGCGGGTGGGTCGCGGGTGGGTCGCGGGTGGGTCGCGGGTGGGTCGCGGGTGGGTCGCGGGGTGGGCCGCGGGGGGGTCGCGGGGTGGGTCGCGGGTTGGGTCGCGGGGTGGGTCGCGGGGTGGGTTGCGGGGTGGGTCGCGGGGTGGGTCGCGGGTGGGTCGCGGGTGGGTCGCGGGTGGGTCGCGGGGTGGGTCGCGGGGTGGGTCGCGGGTGGATCGCGGGGCGGGTTGCGGGTGGGACGGCGACAACAAACAACAACAACAACAACAACAACAACAAACAACAACAACAACAACAACAACAACAACAACAAGAATCCGCACCGCGGAATTCCACATCAGCCACGCACCCAGGGACAGTGAATTACCGTTCGGCCCCCTCACTCTGATGTAGATCACATACCCCCGAGTGGGAAGGGCGACAATCCCGGCCTCGAAGTGGCGGTGGTTGTAATTTCTTTCAAGAAAGGACAATATGCGTACCGCAGTCTACGCGGTGCAAAATATGTTGTGCAATCCATGCGGCGCGATCTACGCAGCCCAATCTACGTCGCGCAATCTACGTGGCGCAACCTACGCGGCGCAGTTCACGTGTGGAACTCGCAGTTGTCAACTCCACATCTCGCCCAATCATCCCACCCACCCACCCGCGTCTTGTCTGGCAAAACACGAGCGGCGGCATTTGCCACGAGTGCTTGGCGTTGGCTGGTGCTTCTCTGCGGCCGCGCCAACCCGCGAATGCACTTGCGCGCGGCGGCGAGCTAGCATGGCGCGACGGACGCGGCCGCGGCGGCGCTGGCCGCCGGGCGCGTCCCAGCGGGCACTTCATTGCGAGTCGGCGACTTGGGCGGGCGCGGCATCACGGCAACGTCGACTACAGTAGACACGATGATAATAACAGCGATGCTGGCGGCGATGTTGACAACGACGACGGCGCGGCCAGTGACGGCGCCGATGCTGGTCACACCGACGACGACGGTAACGCCCTCGCACCGGCGATGAAGATTTTGGATGGAGTTCGACACGCGCGCGCGGCCGGCGCGCGAGAGTGGCCAACGCGTCATTATTCAAAACAGATCGCGCACCCCCCAGCAAGCGCGCAAGGGCGCT